TTTGGTTATATTTAGGGGCTAGAGAATTCATAATTATTGAGAGTTCGATATTCATGGGCTGTCTGAATGCATATAGTATTTCTCTTTCGAGTGGTACTACACATAAACGAATGCCAAACTCATTGACCCAAAAGCGGAACGGATTTCGGGTGCGTTTTCGTTTATTTTTGGTAATGCTTTATGTGCTGGGGAGACGTCAACGCAATTGCCAGTCATTGAACCCACAAAAAGTTACATTGTATCGTCTTCCAGTCCCCTGCTCTGTCTGGCCTCTCGCTGTATTGTACATCTGAGAGAAGGATACAGATCCATGCCATGCCGAATATGAGTAATATGTTGTCAGGGGCAGCGACAGCGACAGAGACAGACACAGATACAGATGGGAATTTAATGAGCTCAGCCGCTGCATTCCAGCCAGTTTATAGTTGCGTGCGAGCAAAATAAAATAATACTTCGACTCGTACTCACGAGTGCATTTAGCTTAAGAGCTTTCTTCAAAGCATTATCTCTGTCATACATGTGTATGTTTGATGGTTTTTGTTTTGTATTTGTAATTGTCAACTTCCGCATTGAAATATAGCCGTAAAATGGATTACAAACGTGTCGGCCTCTTGTCCCATAAACCATTTCTCACCCAACTACACCCAGAGAAAATACACTGGGCTTTCGAAATATATAAGCGAGTGTTTTTTGACTTACTTATTTAAATATGTTTCATAAATAAAATGGAAATATTTTCACATTTTATTTATTTTATAGTGTTTTATATGTTTGCCCATTTTCTCTGAGTGTAGTTATGTCTATGCCTGTGACTCTGCGGCCTCTCCAACATTCACTTCCAATTTGCGTTTGGCTTTTGTCTGTTTTTGTGTGTGTGTTTTGCCACCAACAAAATTATGTCATCAACTTTCAATCAATCTCAATACACTTCAATCAATTTTGCACAACAAAAAGCGCCACAGCCAGCGCCAGAGCCAGCGCCAGAGCCAGAGCATTAGATATTCAAATTTATGCAATACTCGTACTATTGGTACCTACTCCTCAGATGCAGCAACGCTTTCTTTTTGGGAGCTCGGAAATCGGTCAGCAGCAGCAGCAGCAGCAGCAGCAGCTATCTCGGGACTTTGAACAAGAAAGGGAAGTGGCTGGCAAATGTTGCTGCCACTGCAGCAGCTGCAATCTGCATAATTTTCGCATCACGTTTTGCATATTTTTCTAATTGAAAAACAAAAAAACAACAACAAATTCAATCATTTCATTTCGAAATGCTTTGCTGCAACACACAGCACAGTCCTCCCTCTAGCCCAATGAGCAAATGCCGAATGGTACTACCGTAATTGCAGTTGGCAACGTTTAGGACCATTTATAACGCCCATTGCCACGCCTTCGAGGCAGGCTTTTATTGTTGTTGTTGTTGTGTTTTTGGCTAAAAGCGCATTTTGTTTGGTTTTGTGTCAACCTTTTAACCTCCTGCGATCGTGCGGCTGTCTCTGCTGTTGCTGCTGTTGCAACTGTTGCAACTTCTACTGCTGCTGCTGCTGGTGGATTAATTTTCAATTAAGCGCAAAATGCTTTTATGCTCCAGTTCGATATTTCTTCCACAAGAAATTTGTATAATTGAATGCAGAATTCCAAGCGGGATTTTGCATTTCATTAGCCAATGTCTGATGTCTGGGAAATCTATTGGGGCAGTCTCTCCCTCTCGCTCTCTCTCTCTGAGAAACGTGCAAACGTGTCAATTTATGGTTTTTCATTGCAACATGCAAGAGAAATGCCGGCCGCTGCGGCTCTCTGAGACGTTTCCACGGAAACTCCAAAGAGAAACACATTTAAAATGTGTTTGCCCCAAAGGCAAGCGAAACGGGCAAAAAACGAAAATGCATTGAAGAAAAGAAGCAAACAAAAGCAAATTGAAAATAACGTAGGATAGAGAGAACAATGAGCAAACATTTCTCCGCTGGGCTGTGTATTCGAGCTCCCAAAAGGTTTATAGCCGCTTGAGTAGTTCTCGCTTCCTGCTTTGGAGCTGGATACCCAACTGCAGCTGCCAGCTCCCAGCTTCCAGCAAATGCTTAGCCACTCAACGTGTATTCATTTCCTGCTGCAAGCAGGGCTCCTCTTACCACCAAAGAAAGCCCCTTACACAGACACCTCTCTCTATCCCCAAGCACAAGCTGGCCGAAGGATGGCAGGATGAACTCTTTTGTACTCTTTGGTATTGATTTGCATTTCTAGGCCATTTTGGTGCTGATCTTTAATCTTTGAAATTCAATTAACAAAATGCAATCAAAGGAACCAACTCTTGAGGAAAGTTCTTTGTGTTGTGAAAACCCAAAATGAAAACATTTCTGTCAACAAATTTCCTTTTCAAGTGCAGCTTTGCGGGTGAGCATTAAAGCCGATTAATGTAAGCCGCTAATGGGCAACATGTAGAAGCCAGGGACTGTGGCTGCCACTCGAGGCGCTAATCGTGCATCACGCAGTGAAATAAATTGAATTAGAACCGTAAATCCCTGAGCTGGCCATGCAAATGGATGTCGGATGGCGGTCTATCGTGGTCACGAAACCAGGCAGGCAAAGGAAAAGGTGTGCCAGGGACGGACAGACAACCCTCGTAGCCGCAGGCCTTGGAGTTGAAGTGTGTGAGTCGCGGAGTTGGAGTTACTGTCAACACCTGGGAGGGAGTCGTCGTCTACTCGGCATTGTGATAACTTCATTTCAGGCCTCAGACCTTTGGGCCTGTCTGAAGAACGCGTCATCGTCATTACGGCTGACATGTGTCTGCCCCACACACACACACACACACTCACATCGAAGGGGTCATGCCCTCCACTCCGACGCCAGACATTTCCATCTTCTTTATGCAGTGTAGGAAATCTTCTTTTTATTCTGGATTATTTTCTTACCTGGAATCTTGGCATTGATTGCTGATGCACAATCGCCTGGAGTGTGAACTGTGAACTGTGACCCGCAAGCCGAAAGATTTGAGCTGAAAGCTCTGCTAATGGCTGTTGATAGGTATATCGTAACGCCGCATAACCACGCAAAGCCCATAAACCTCAAGAGGGGAAACTGAGGCTACAGGTGGCTAAGGCCCAACCCCATTTGCATGCGAATACAGTAAAGGTTCTACAGACTGAACTCTGTGTAGAATCAATCTGTGATAGCTTATGGCAATGGTGTGAGAATTCATGAATTCTCTATGAATAATCAGGCAACTAAAGTGCGTTTGCCCTGAAGTAACGTGGAAGTGCACAACGTTTTGCCAGCTCATTTGATGACTTACAATGCCCCTTCAGAGGTACGCAGCCTGGCAGGCGGCATGCGGCAAGTGGCAGGTGGCAGGTCTTATTGGCAGCCTGACGAGGTGTCAGTGGCGAGGATACGTTCGGCGGCCAGGTCTAGGATGACAGACTGTTTGGTTGCGTGCTGACAGCAATTAACACCGGGGGCCTGGGCCTCAAAAGACTGCGCAAATTGATGAACGTTTGTTGATGTTTTGAGGTTAACCTAATGAAATTAATTTTTAGTGTTCCCCGATCTCTGGGGTAAATGAAAATTAATGGCCCCATCGAATTAGCCACAAGACCGTATATCATGGCTTTCAGTCGCCACCTTTTACGACTGCTGTGCCCGATTATACAACTTGCGAACTGCTTTGGAGCCATGACGGGTGATAAACCTTATCAGGCGCACGTCGACGCAGAATTTGGAGCATTCTTTTATTTGGCATATGATGACACAAATCAGTTTGGCCATGGCTATAAGCAGGCCGCTGACCAACTGCCCAGCGACGAAGCCATAGCCGGAGCCAGAGCTGGAGCATGTGCCACAGATAAGCCCCGTCCGCGAAAAAAATTAAAACTGATTAGAATCGACAATCGACATATAGACGAATTTGAAGCGAACAGCAGGTGGCAGACACCTGCACGGGATTTCAATCACATGCGCAAATCGGTTTGTCATGTTTCCATATGTGTACTCTGAAGTACTCTAAACTGGGATGACTCTAGACTTTGGATTCAAACAAAGTTCATTGTCACCTCAGCAGAGGAGAGTAGAGTGCCAGGCCCACGCCTGGTGTCTGGCAGCACTTAACCTTTTCACCTGACTGCACACAAAGCAGAAAGCAGAATGCAGAAGGCAGAAAGGAGTTCTGGAGCAGACGCATGCGTTGACACTTTATGTCTTGCTTGCGCTCTTAATAAGCTTACAGTTCCGGTCTAAGCGCAGAGCACAGAGGGAAGAGCCTGGAAATGACCTCAGCTCATCCTGCCGGCGCTGTGCACTGAAAGAAATTGGTGCGAATAATCAAACTGGGAGCAGTTGGGAGCAGAAAACTGCAATATAATTGAGTTTTATTTTAAGTTTCGGGGAATATTCTCAATTTGTTTGTTTATTTTACTTAAAGACAAACTTTATTCCAGTAATTTCCTGCATTTTAAATTTATTCTCCAACTTTTCCTAGCAGAAACTTTTTATCGCCTTACGTCTTACGTCTTTAGACTTTGTCTTCGAGTGGTTACTCCTAGCTCGGAGTCTGTCTGGAAACAGGAAATGGAGATGACTACTTAGGGAGGAGTTGCTTTACTGCCAATTAATTATCCTAGAATGCCCGCCGAGTGTCTTTCCCACCCAAAGGGACTCTGGCAATGGAGAAACTTTCACTTTTTATTGCGTGCTTCTGCCGCATCGAGGGATTCGAATTACAATTTCATTTTTCTGCCACGAATCAAAACAAAAGTCAGTCGTGGCGAGGGGGGGGGGGGGGGGGGGGGGTACTGGCTTATTGCATGTCGGACTGCGATAAGCAATCGAAATCTGAAGTTGAAGTTGAGGGAGTTGGCACGGCTCCCCCCTCACACCCCACACCCCACACCTCCGCTGTCAAGCGGTGTGATTGAAAGTGAAACTTATTTGTGCGACAGCTCCAAAAATGTCGATGCAGTGGAAAAGTTTTGGCTAAAGTTTTTGTTTCCCTTTGTTCCTTCCCGTTGCAGCTTTATGGGCGTCTGCGTGCATGAGGGACAGCTGCATGCCCTGACCGAGTACATCAATGGCGGCTCGCTGGAGCAGCTGCTGGCCAACAAGGAGGTGGTGCTCAGCGCCACGCAGAAGATAAGACTGGCGCTGGATATAGCGCGGGGCATGACATATGTCCACGATGCCGGCATCTTCCACAGGGATCTGACGAGCAAGGTGAGTCCCGAGCAGAATTTAAATGAGCTTAAAATTATGATCTGAATCCCGCATCCGCAGAATGTACTTATACGCAATCTGGCCAACGATCAATTTGAAGCCGTCGTGGGGGACTTTGGTCTAGCCGCAAAGATACCAGTGAAATCGTAAGTGGATCCTTGAGCATTTCCCTTCAACGGAAACTGATCTTTGACCCTCTTGTTCGCAGCAGAAAGTCACGCCTGGAGACAGTCGGCTCGCCGTATTGGGTCAGTCCCGAGTGCCTGAAGGGCCAGTGGTACGACCAGCGGAGCGACATCTTCTCCTTTGGCATCATCCAGTGCGAGATTATTGCACGCATCGAGGCCGATCCGGACATGATGCCGCGCACACCCTCCTTTGGCCTCGATTATCTGGCTTTTGTGGAGCTCTGTCCCATGGACACACCGCCAGTGCTGCTAAGGCTGGCCTTCTACTGTTGCATCGTAAGTGCTCTTCACACAGGGAGTGGGATTCCTCCTTCTCATAACTCATCTTTCTCGATTGCAGTACGATGCCAATAGCCGACCCACTTTCCACGATGCCACCAAGAAGCTGACGCTGCTGCTGGAGAAACACGAGCACGAGTCGTCGACGGGCGTCAGTCCGCTTAGCTCCTTGGAGCTGATCAGTTGCTCGCCAGGCGGCAGTGACAGCGAGAATGCCACGGCCCTGACCTCTGTCCCCACAGTGGGCACAATTTGCACGGCCCCGGCTGGCACTTTGACGCCCCGCCATCTGCGAGACGTGAACGAGGAAGGGTTCCGTTTCCCCATGAAGTCTGCGTCGGCTGCGTTGCCGGGCACGCCGAATGGCTCGGCCGGCAGCCACGGCTTCGACGATCACATCTTGCAGTCTCGCGTGCGCCGAGCCACCCAGAAGCTGGAGGCCGAGATTCTGCTGCACCGGCGCTCGCTGAGCGAGAACATTATCCACTTCCCGATGCACACGTCGCCGAGTGACAAGGCGCGCTGCCATCAGATGCAGCGCCAGCGATCCTCCACACACTCACCGACGCCGCCCAGGCAACTGCCAGTCGGAATTGCAACTGCTGCCGTGCTGCTGCCGGTGGTTGTGGTGCCCGAACCGCCGCCACTGCCGCCGCCAGTGTCTGCCGTGCTGACGCTGCGCAAGGTGGGCGAGACGATGTGTCTGAAGGATCCGCAGTACAAGCCGGAGACAAACAAGGACAGCAGCGGAACGAAGCCCAATCCGTTCGAAGCGCTGGCGCAGCTGCGTGGCGTCAAGAAGATCTTGGGCGCCAATCCAAAGACGTACGCCGCCGGAGTGGGCGATCTGTTCAGCTCGTGCTTTGAGATGCTGGCACCGTTCTTCAAGGAGCTGGCTGCCATGCAGAGCAAGGCCGCGGCTCAGGGTACAGCGACAGCGGACGGCAGTGAAGTTGCAGCGCCCAAAGCAGACGCAACACCAGCGACGCCCAGTGAACCAAAGAGTCTGCCTTCCTCGCCGCAAATGACGCGCAAGTACAGCGGCATGGAGCTGAAGCTGCCCCAACGGATCAGCAATGCAGCGGCTGTGCCAGCCACGACAGCGGCGGAAGCTCCACCCGCGGAAGAGGACGACTGCGATGACTGCAACTCGGAGGGCGAGGATCCCGACGGAGGCGGCAACTGTGCCGATGCCGAGTCGAGCAGCGACGACAGCGCAGTGCGCCACTCCACAGTCCCAGCGGCACGCAAGTATCGCGCCAACTCCCTCTACACGCATCCCCTGTTCCGGGGCGGACCCAGTGGCACCAGCATGAAGAACAGCGTCAGTGAATTCGAGAGCAGCACGCTGCTCAAGGCCAGTGCCTCGACGGTCACGCTGACTGCCTCCACAGCTGCCGCAGATTCGAATTCTTGCGAGGATCTGACCGACTGCGGAAATAAGTCCAAAGAGCTGCCTTCGGGCAGTGGTTCGGCCGCAGCAGTCGCTTCACCCACACCCCTGTCCGGCTGCTCGGCCCGCCTGGCGGAGACACCCGCCTCCGTTTCGTCGTGCACCGATCTAGAGCTGGAAGAACTGAAGAACGCCTGCGATCTGAACGCCGAAGAGCTGAAGAAGACGAACCTGACGCGGCGCGACTCCATCGAGAGCGGCTTCTTCTCATGCTTCAACGAGGAGTCGGACCAGGCCATCACCAACAACAGCTTCAGCAGGCAGCTCAACGGAATGGGATCGTTGGGGTTTGGTTGCGGCGGCGCGGCCAGCAGTAGCAGCAACTGCTGCTACGAACAATTGAAGACGCAGCTGATGCTCGACGCAGCAGGCAGCGCAAGCAGTGAAATCAAGTGAGTTTCCATCACAGGTCCTGTAAATCCGAGTGAATACCTTACAAATCTTGAACTGATTTCAGCGATAAACTGGCGAGTCTGTGTCGATGCTGCTACTATGCGACTTCTACATCGAATGCTGCTGTGGCCGCGGCAGCCGCTGCTGCCCAACAACAGCAGCAGAATCACCTGCTTAATGACACCTCCTCGACCTCATCGTCGGTGCTACTGATCGACAACGATCCAGCAGTCATTGGCGCCAACACATCGTCGTCCACGGCGCTGGACTCCATGGATGATCTGGATGCCGAAATTGTGGCTCCCCGTCCGCACCAACGTCGCTACACCTGCCATCATGCCCTGCTCAGCGGCAATGTCAGTGATCAGCAGATGGCAGCCACGGCCGGGTTGATCAATCGCCTGGGCCTGGACTCGGAGATACACACGCTGTTGCAGCGCAGTCCGTTTGCCACGAATCAGCTGCTGTATTGCAAGAATCGTACCTCATCCATCTACACGGACAGCTCGGATGATATCAGCAGCCTGGCAGGATCCGATTCGCTGCTCTGGGACGATCGCTCCTTTACGGCCTTGCCGAGCACACGATCGGCTCAAATAGCCAAGATTGTCGAGTACTTTGAGCGCAAGCGACAGGACTCATCGCCGCCGTCCATGCATCATCGGAACGGCAATGGCACTGTGGCCGCCGCTGTGGCTGCCTCCGCGCTGGGCTCCAACTACCTCTCGTATGAGTCGCGCCGCTACTCGGACTTCAAGCGACACCTGAACCCTGATGCCCTGTGCTTTGATCTGGACAAGAAGCCGGCCCACCAGCGGATGATGGTGTGCGAGGGAGCGGTCAAGTCGAAACTACCCATATTCGACAAGAAGAAGCATCAGGCGATGAGCAGCGGCCAGGGCGGATAGCCGCAGGATAATTTAATGAGCCATGCCACTGATTCCTTTATGAACTTTTTTGTTTAATGAGTTTTGGAAGTTAGTTCAAATTCCCAGAGATTCAAATTTCCTTCACAGCCGGCAGTACGATTATCGACCACTCAATGGGAGAATAAATCAACAAAATTTACATTTAGTTTCTAATTTTAGTTACCGTATCGTATCGTATCGTATCACGTGTATAGAGCAGATTCAAATTGCATATAAGCCAAATTATTCTACTAAAAATTAAGAATGTTTTTGCCAAGAGCATAAGAGTAACCAATTCGTTTGTATTAGCTTGGAAAATTGTGTCTAATATATTGTTTTGTATGAATATTACCTAAACATAAACATATATCGTACATCGTACTGGTTCCTAGTCCTTCAAATTTACCTTTGCTATACATTTTATTCTAAATTAGTGCGCATCACCCCTCGCCCCCAGAGCGGAAAGTATTTATTCTAATTAATCGAACCTGTCGCTGAGTATACTCCTACGAAATGGCATAGCTATTCTTTATAAATACATACACAAACATGCATACATTATATTCATTTATTTATTTGATTTTTTTGGCCTAAAATCTGTATAAAAACTATTATGTCTACACAATTATTATACAAGAAAATCAATATACAAATATACACATTTACATATACATAAACATATATATATATATATATAATGGCATATTGCAATACATACATTTTAACTGTAACTATTAGCTACCATTTAAGGTCAAAGTTAAAAGTATCTATCTATATCTATGTAGAATTTTCAACGTGAGGTTGTAAGACTTGAACGCCCCCCACTTTTCCACTGAAAACTGTACAGATGGTGCCCCGATTCGAGAACCTTTACCATTGGCCATTATCAAAAAACGGGCTTAATTTCGGCGTAGCTCTTAAGTTTTAGTTTTTGAAAATAAATACATATGTATACAAACACCAAAACTTGATAGCACGTTGGCCGATCAATTGGACGTGTATATTATTGGATTTGATTTATGGTTTTGTACTCTTTTTCTTCGATTCTTACAAATATTCTTTTGTTTTTTGTTTTAATTCGGCTGCAATTAGACTCTCAATTATCAGAAAAACGAATACATATTTCAAAGCGAAAAGGCGAAGACTGAGCCAACATTTATGAATCGGCTAGTAGTTTTCATTATATAAACGATAGAAAAATATTCTAGATTTGATTATTGTATCGAAAATCAGTGAGTATCGATGGGCTCCAACTGAAGCAACTTACTTTAGCAGCGTAGAAACTGTTCAACAGAGAATTAATTAAGATCACACGACTGTAAATAGCTGCAAATCTGTAAAGCATGATATGTGTATATACCATTCAGATGAGTTAATCTGTAGAGGATTGTTAAGAAATTGATGTCGTCCATTTGAACATACAACATATAACACTTCAACCTCATTGCATCGTCTTGTTAAATGGGTTCTTTGTGAGGCCAAACATTAGAAAATCATGAATTTAAAATTCATTTCCGGTTGCCAATCAAACACATTTATGCACTTGCCAACGTTGGTGTGTACGATGTAAAAGTATTATATTATATTATCACATTGGAATCGCAGTCCATCCCAGGCATACATATTTACATATTCACATACATACATAAATATATGGTAACGACTCTGTTTCAGTTTTAACTATCATAAAATCGAAGAAACAATAAATTTAATACACACGGAGAATTTTGTAAAACTGTAAAACTGAATTGTACTCAATCAATAAATACAGCTATAGAAAAACGACCGCCTTTCGATTGCGTTTAAAATAGTACCTACCTATAGATTGGGCCAACGTTCAGTACGCGTAATTAAATATTTCAAGGTAAGAATTATATAAGAAATCCATTGAAAACAATTGAAACCGATTAAGGTCAAAGGAAACAGATGGTTTTAATCCATTCAAACAATTACAGGCCAATGAAATGGATTAAAATAAATAAAAGTTATCGTTTTATCCGATTGAATAGCAAGTGATTATGCATTATGAAGAAGGAAAAAGAGATAACTAAAATTGTGTAGCATACTTTCAGTTACAGTTACAATTTAAATCATAACCTATCTTTGGGGTTGGAAGAACGAAAAGTCACTTTCTGCTGATTTCTGTTCACCCGGTACTTCGGTCTGAAATAGAGTTGGGTTGCTCATGAGTGAGTGAACAAAAATTGTTCCCTTCAGTTGTTCACGTATGTTCACAAAAACAATGAGTCATATTATCCATCTTTTAAACATCTTTCATTTTTCATACATCCCAGCCAGTATATCCTAGCCATTGTACATGTTTCGATTTCCTTCAACCGTTTGCACTAAATATACGTAGTCTGTACAAAACACAGAGCAAAACCAACGTTCAGCTCTCAGGCTTTCGCCAACGACCATACTACGCTGAAAGCATCGGTTCTCGTCCGATCACCGAAATTAAGCAGCGTCGGGCGCGGTTAGTACTTAGATGGGGGACCGCTTGGGAACACCGCGTGTTGTTGGCTTCGTCACCAACTTTTTGCCTTTTTAGCCTTTTTCGTTTCGATTTTTATATATTTTCTCTCATTTTTCCTTTTAAGTTACCTTTAAATAGCCACACATCCCAGCCAGTACATCCTAGCCATTGTACATGTTTTGATTTCCTTCAACCGTTTGCACTAAATATACGTAGTCTGTACAAAACACAGAGCAAAACCAACGTTCAGATCTCAGGCTTTCGCCAACGACCATACTACGCTGAATACATCGGTTCTCGTCCGATCACCGAAATTAAGCAGCGTCGGGCGCGGTTAGTACTTAGATGGGGGACCGCTTGGGAACACCGCGTGTTGTTGGCTTCGTCACCAACTTTTTGCCTTTTTAGCCTTTTTCGTTTCGATTTTTATATTTTTTCTCTCATTTTTCCTTTTGAATTGCCTTTACTCTTATAGCCACAAATCCCAGCCAGTATATCCTAGCCATTGTAGATGTTTCGATTCCTTCAACTGTTTGCACTAAATATACGTAGTCTGTACAAAACACAGAGCAAAACCAACGTTCAGCTCTCAGGCTTTCGCCAACGACCATACTACGCTGAATACATCGGTTCTCGTCCGATCACCGAAATTAAGCAGCGTCGGGCGCGGTTAGTACTTAGATGGGGGACCGCTTGGGAACACCGCGTGTTGTTGGCTTCGTCACCAACTTTTTGCCTTTTTAGCCTTTTTCGTTTCGATTTTTATATTTTTTCTCTCATTTTTCCTTTTGAATTGCCTTTACTCTCATAGCCACAAATCCCAGCCAGTATATCCTAGCCATTGTAGATGTTTCGATTCCTTCAACTGTTTGCACTAAATATACGTAGTCTGTACAAAACACAGAGCAAAACCAACGTTCAGCTCTCAGGCTTTCGCCAACGACCATACTACGCTGAATACATCGGTTCTCGTCCGATCACCGAAATTAAGCAGCGTCGGGCGCGGTTAGTACTTAGATGGGGGACCGCTTGGGAACACCGCGTGTTGTTGGCTTCGTCACCAACTTTTTGCCTTTTTAGCCTTTTTCGTTTCGATTTTTATATTTTTTCTCTCATTTTTCCTTTTAAGTTACCTTTAAATAGCCACACATCCCAGCCAGTACATCCTAGCCATTGTACATGTTTTGATTTCCTTCAACCGTTTGCACTAAATATACGTAGTCTGTACAAAACACAGAGCAAAACCAACGTTCAGCTCTCAGGCTTTCGCCAACGACCATACTACGCTGAATACATCGGTTCTCGTCCGATCACCGAAATTAAGCAGCGTCGGGCGCGGTTAGTACTTAGATGGGGGACCGCTTGGGAACACCGCGTGTTGTTGGCTTCGTCACCAACTTTTTGCCTTTTTAGCCTTTTTCGTTTCGATTTTTATATTTTTTCTCTCATTTTTCCTTTTGAATTGCCTTTACTCTCATAGCCACAAATCCCAGCCAGTATATCCTAGCCATTGTAGATGTTTCGATTCCTTCAACCGTTTGCACTAAATATACGTAGTCTGTACAAAACACAGAGCAAAACCAACGTTCAGCTCTCAGGCTTTCGCCAACGACCATACTACGCTGAATACATCGGTTCTCGTCCGATCACCGAAATTAAGCAGCGTCGGGCGCGGTTAGTACTTAGATGGGGGACCGCTTGGGAACACCGCGTGTTGTTGGCTTCGTCACCAACTTTTTGCCTTTATTAGCCTTTTTCGTTTCGACTTTTATATTTTTTCTCTCATTTTTCCTTTTAAGTTACCTTTAAATAGCCACACATCCCAGCCAGTACATCCTAGCCATTGTACATGTTTTGATTTCCTTCAACCGTTTGCACTAAATATACGTAGTCTGTACAAAACACAGAGCAAAACCAACGTTCAGCTCTCAGGCTTTCGCCAACGACCATACTACGCTGAATACATCGGTTCTCGTCCGATCACCGAAATTAAGCAGCGTCGGGCGCGGTTAGTACTTAGATGGGGGACCGCTTGGGAACACCGCGTGTTGTTGGCTTCGTCACCAACTTTTTGCCTTTTTAGCCTTTTTCGTTTCGATTTTTATATTTTTTCTCTCATTTTTCCTTTTAAGTTACCTTTAAATAGCCAGTACATCCTAGCCATTGTACATGTTTTGATTTCCTTCAACCGTTTGCACTAAATATACGTAGTCTGTACAAAACACAGAGCAAAACCAACGTTCAGCTCTCAGGCTTTCGCCAACGACCATACTACGCTGAATACATCGGTTCTCGTCCGATCACCGAAATTAAGCAGCGTCGGGCGCGGTTAGTACTTAGATGGGGGACCGCTTGGGAACACCGCGTGTTGTTGGCTTCGTCACCAACTTTTTGCCTTTTTAGCCTTTTTCGTTTCGATTTTATTNTGCCTTTTTAGCCTTTTTCGTTTCGATTTTTATATTTTTTCTCTCATTTTTCCTTTTAAGTTACCTTTAAATAGCCACACATCCCAGCCAGTACATCCTAGCCATTGTACATGTTTTGATTTCCTTCAACCGTTTGCACTAAATATACGTAGTCTGTACAAAACACAGAGCAAAACCAACGTTCAGCTCTCAGGCTTTCGCCAACGACCATACTACGCTGAATACATCGGTTCTCGTCCGATCACCGAAATTAAGCAGCGTCGGGCGCGGTTAGTACTTAGATGGGGGACCGCTTGGGAACACCGCGTGTTGTTGGCTTCGTCACCAACTTTTTGCCTTTTTAGCCTTTTTCGTTTCGATTTTTATATTTTTTCTCTCATTTTTCCTTTTGAATTGCCTTTACTCTCATAGCCACAAATCCCAGCCAGTATATCCTAGCCATTGTAGATGTTTCGATTCCTTCAACCGTTTGCACTAAATATACGTAGTCTGTACAAAACACAGAGCAAAACCAACGTTCAGCTCTCAGGCTTTCGCCAACGACCATACTACGCTGAATACATCGGTTCTCGTCCGATCACCGAAATTAAGCAGCGTCGGGCGCGGTTAGTACTTAGATGGGGGACCGCTTGGGAACACCGCGTGTTGTTGGCTTCGTCACCAACTTTTTGCCTTTTTAGCCTTTTTCGTTTCGATTTTTATATTTTTTCTCTCATTTTTCCTTTTAAGTTACCTTTAAATAGCCACACATCCCAGCCAGTACATCCTAGCCATTGTACATGTTTTGATTTCCTTCAACCGTTTGCACTAAATATACGTAGTCTGTACAAAACACAGAGCAAAACCAACGTTCAGCTCTCAGGCTTTCGCCAACGACCATACTACGCTGAATACATCGGTTCTCGTCCGATCACCGAAATTAAGCAGCGTCGGGCGCGGTTAGTACTTAGATGGGGGACCGCTTGGGAACACCGCGTGTTGTTGGCTTCGTCACCAACTTTTTGCCTTTTTAGCCTTTTTCGTTTCGATTTTTATATTTTTTCTCTCATTTTTCCTTTTAAGTTACCTTTAAATAGCCACACATCCCAGCCAGTACATCCTAGCCATTGTACAT